TTGACGTCAGATGAAGAGAAAATGTTTGAGATCCTACACCCCAGTAATTTCATATCGTGACGTAAAAGTTCTATAAAAAATGAACTACAGAGAAATTAAAAAATCGGCCTCTGTTAAGTTGTAGCCCCACATCTTAGCTACATTTTAAAACCAGCTACATTTTTTTTTTAGCTACATTTTAAAACCCAACCTTAGCTACATTAAGCAGAGAATCGCACATGGTCATGATTAAGTATACCTATTTTCCATAGCTTAACGACTTTTCACAACACCCCCATAAGCAGCTCTTACAAGGAATGTGTGCTGTAGAAGCTATTGATGCTCCAATTAGCCATATGACAGTCTCTTCATACCACACATTAACACATACATCGAAAATAGATTCAAATATTGTGAACGAGTTCAGTTTTATCCAATTTTTACGAAAACCAACCGAGTACGTTTTGTATTTTTCCCTCCTCGGGTCTTCCCTATAGTCTTTATACCACAGAATTTTTATGAAATTATGGACTTTATGAAAAAGTATGGAATAAATAGCCCGATCGAGTATATTTATACACAGATCCCAAGCCTGAATCATTTAAAGACTGTGCAGGTATTGTGTAACCTTTTTTGATAAAAGTTACTAATTATTATTTGCTTGTCCACGTAAAAGTCCACTTTTAGTAAGTTCGTAACGTTTTGCGAAAGTCATAGCTCCTCAGCCGAGCAACCTAGCGAGTTGGGGAGTGCCTTATTTTGTAGCTTAAGGATTTTTCTTTCAAGTGGTAATTAAGCAAAGTCTACTAGTCAATTAGTTTAAGTAACTAATATTTTGCTATACGCCACTTTCGTACAAAACGGCTTTATTGGCACGAATTAGGGTCAAGTTAGACTTTGCTTAATTACCATTTGAAAGAAAAATCTTTAAGCTACAAAATAAGGCGCTCCTCCACTCTGTACAATGCTCGGCTTTGTTGTATACATTGCTTTATTTCAGAATCAGCGAGATCCGGTTAAACCTTTAGAAAAAAAATGTTGAGTATTTCACATGAAAATAATATTCGTCTAACTATCTCAAACACTCAGGAGGGAACATCCTCGCTTTTTCAACGAAACTTAGTGGGTTATAGGTTATCGATGATGCTGATTCCGAATATGAATATGAGAGCTGCTCTTATGGCTTCGAAGATCCGATTTTCTGGAAAATCAGTTTTTCAGAAACTCTGAAAAACACCCAAAGCTTTTCTTAATAAGCCATACTTGTAGCCCGCACATTTCTGATTAAAATGAGATCTCTCCCAACTCTACATGACCTTTCTTTGCAAAGTTATAGAATTTACAAGAAAAGCCCTAAATATTCATCGTCAACTCGAAGCTACAGAAATAAGAAGAAATTAATTTAGGGTTCTTCGTGTAAATCTATAACTTTGCAAAGAAAGGTCATGTAGAGGTGGGAGAGGTCTCATTTTAATCAGAAATGTGCAGGCTACAAGCATGGCTTATTAAGAAAAGCTTTGGGTGTTTTTCAGAGTTTCTGAAAAACGGGTCTTCGAAGTCCTAATGGCAGCTCTCATATTCATATTCGCAATCAGCATCATCGATAACCTATAACCCACTAGGTTTCGTTGAAAAAGCGAGGGAACACTTACATATGTTCCCTCGTCAGTGACTTTCACGTGTGTCATAAAGTTCATTTATAAAGTAGTTTAGATGTCTTGAGAAAAGAAAATCTAAGACATCGTAGTTTTTTTGGAATTATTCACAATTTAATATTTTATTTCCAGCTATCGATGATGTTTTTACATTATCGGCAGAAAAGCAAATAATAAAGAGAAAAAGAGAACTATAAATACAGTTATGTGAAAATGACTTGGGCAATTAACATTATATATATTAATTAAAGGCTAATCAATGAAGAAACGATACAGGCAATATACAATCGACTAAATACAGCATCGAAACCTTGAAATTTTGAATTAGTCTAAAAAGGTATTTTCCAATCACAGAAAAAGCAACTTGCATCGAAAGATGCAACTAGTTTGATAGTAAGACTCTTGCAATGTACATCTAACAAAGGTAGATGCGAAAGTTGCCGTAAAAAGCCAGTATAATTCGTAATTTTTTTTGATTAATTCGACTAATTAGCAAAATCCAATCAATAGTAGTATAATCAAATCTCGGAGAAATACATTCGGAACTTTTGAACAACTAACGAATGAAGAGGTATAAAAAAAGGCGGTTTCGCCAGTGCGTAGCCAGGATCTTACAGCATAATCCTATGAAAAAATAATGCCGAAAATACCATTTGTTTTAGATGATGTACCTATTTTCAGCGAAAATTACAAAATTCATAACTGCATCAAAATTAATCCAAACTACTCTAGAGTTTAAACATATACTCCGTTTCGTTTCCCAGTAGGAAAAGTCCCAGCATACATAAACCTTGATACATAAAAATGTGAGACTTGCGGAGAATTGTAGAGGCCGTTCGAGGGCTTCGAACCAGCTTCTCAGCGGCAAAAAAGCATCCTTTTTCATAGTCTGACAACCCTCTCTTTCAAAGACCAACAAGATATATCATCTGAAACAGACGATATATTCGGCATTATTTTTTCGTGGAATTATGATATCAGGTGCTGGCCACCCACTGGAGAAAACCTACTTTTTTCCCGCTTTATTCAGCAATTATTCGAAAAGCAACCGAGTGTTCATGGCGTTCTAGGAGAATCTTCTTCAATGGAGGGTTTCATTCTCTACAAAGTACTTCCGTGATATGAAAAACACAAACTAACATGCTTATTAGCCGCGAATTATTTAAAAATAGTTACGAATGTATGTGTTATTTTGAAGAGCGGTAAATCTCTTTCACACCAAGCGAGAGTCTATATGACATTATGATAGTTCTGATAAAATTCCATTTCATTGTAGTTTTTCACCATTAAAATGAATCGGATATTAGTAACCTGTAGCTTCTCACTAATCTTCCAAGTAAACATTATTCAGTAGCAGAAGCACTTCGACTGATCTATTGATGTGTACTTTGATGGTCTAATTCGGTCAATGTACTGTAGCGCCTGAGTCTATCTTGTATGGTGAACTGACGGTAGAGAGTATAATATTTTTGAAAACGAGTAGGGATAAGATACTTGGGTACTAGGAGAAATTTCTTGCACATAATCGAACTAACTAGGAGTTGATTGAAAAAATCTTTCTTACCTGTGCATTTCGTGATACAATCTAGTTGTCTGCTGAATTTTATCACGTGATATTTTATGCATGGGTCCAGATGAAATCTATGTTTTTAAGAGCCATTTCAGATAAGCCACCTCCAATGCTGCTCAATCGACTTTCTTAAAAGTTAATTTCAATTATATGGATAAAAAGTAGAAGTCATTGTGACCTTTTTGCTGCAAAGCGCGGCCCTCTAGCTCAAATCGTTACTGAGTTACTGATTTTTTAAAAGAAATGGACACTTTTTTTGTGAATTAGTTATAATTAAATCTGGTAATGGCCGCGCTTTGCGGTAAAAAAGTCACAATGACTTGTACTTTTTACCCATATAATTGAAATTAACTTTTAAGAAAGTCGGTTGAGCAACTTCTCTGGTAATCGGATCTGAAATGGCTCTTATGGATAATATCTTTTATTAATGACCAGATTATATTGATATCTATGTTGTAGACGATCAAAGTCCAAATCTCCAGTTACATTGGGGTCCAGTAACTACGGACGAAACATTTTTCCAGAATGTTAATACAAAACCGGAAATATTTGAAAAGCATGTGAAAAAATATTTAAAAATATATAATAATGGTAGTCGTGGTCAATTTTACTCCATTTTTTGCAATCCGACATTAATCAATCCACAATCTGTAGGTGATATACAATTACAAAGTTCCGATCCCTTGGTTCATCCATTAATTAATCCACAATATTTAACCAACGCATACGATATACAAGTATTAGTCGAAGGTTGTAAATTAGTGAATAAGATTTTTTCAACAGAACCATTAAAATCTCAAATAGAATCATTAATAACAGAAATCAATGAGTGTAATGAAAAAGAATATACCAATGAATGGTGGAAATATTATGTCCAAAGTTTAAGTATAACAATTTATCATCCAACTAGTACATGCAAAATGGGGCCGCATTCAGATGAGACAACAGTCATAACACCTGACTGCCGTGTTAAAGGTGTAAAAGGTTTAAGAGTTGTTGACGCAAGTATTATGCCGAAAATTGTTAGTGGAAATACAAATATACCAACAATTGCTTTGGCTGAACGAGCAAGTGATTTAATAAAAGGTAAAATTATTGTCAGCGGTTAAAACGGTTTAAAATAATAAATAGACTTATAAAACCTTCTGAATATGCGTGTTGAATAAACAGATATGACTGTCGTTCATTCAGACCTGAACAACAGAGGTTCGATTCCTCATTCCTCCGCTATTATCAACTAGTTTGAGTTCTGCCTCACGTGTTTAATTATTGTATTTTCTCTAAAACGAGAATGAAACATACGTCTATTTACAGAAATCTAAAGCTTTTTGAAAGTCGCATCATTCTGGACACATTTCAGCATATATGTGGATATGTACAAGGATGTTAGACAAAATGTCATTTGAACGTTTGATTCACTTTGTTCTGGTATTTTCATCATTCCTTCATCGAAAATTCCCATTGAAACTGTGCAAACTTCTCCACACATTCAAAGAAACAATTTTATATTAGTCTTTTCTCATTATTTAAAGGTGTGAAAGAATATTGTTTTCATCCCTGAATATCTATCTCATCACACAAATCTTTCTCAACTACGCTTAATAACATCGGAGATGATGGGGAAAAAAGAAATATTATGAATAGTAAAACAGACTCACGCATAGCTCATCGAGTACTTATTGCAGAAAGTGTGAAATAGCCTATATATGTGCAAAATTTATTACTCAAGATTTATTACCCATCCAAAAACGCAACACAAGTAACTATAGATAAAACTTTAAACCATATTTTTACAAGGTTTTTCATAACGAACGACATTTCACACTTTCCTAAGTTCCTTAATTTGTTCACTTTAACAAGCTTCTGATATCACTGAATCACACAAATATTGATTTCCAAATTAGTCAAAGCTCTTCCTACATCCGAGGTTATTTTTAAATCTGAAATAAGGAAAAAATTAGAATAAAACACGTGTTTTTAATAGCGACACGTCTATCACGCATAAAGTCTACTTACACAAATAGATTCAAAATTTATTCTATTAATTCAGTTATCACAAAAATTTATTTTGAGAGAGTAAAATCCATAGATCATAGTTCGAAATCAATATATGATGCAGCTTGATCTTTCTGTTGTTGTTTAGATTTAGTTTCTGCATCCATCTGTTATCAGCCTGATTTGGTACTTCAAATGGAAGTACAAAAAACTTTGCCCTATACGTATAAGTAGAGTTTATACATGACAGACGTGTCACTATTAAAAAAATGTGTTTTATTCATATTTCTTCCTTATTTCCGATTAATTCCAATAACCTATAAAAGAGATAGTAGAGTATCAGTGGTATCAACACATCTTAACGTTGTGCAACCTTTCCTTTATGCCTTCTTGGATTCGCGAAAGGAGCTGTCAATTGACGGCTGAGAGTGATGTATGAAAAATGACAAATTCAATTAATATAGAAAACTCAGAGAAATACTGACTTTTCTTGACATTTAATTGTTTGCTAAGTTGAAAGAACGTAGACGTTCAGCTAAAATGTAGACTTGTCTTACGAGGGAAGGCCACCAACTGCCTCCAACCATTGTGCCAAACCATTGTGATATTCGGAATCAGCACGTTCGATTACCTATTGTCAACTGAGTTTAAGCTCAAAAGTGAGGAGGCAGTTGGTGGCCTTCCCTCGTAAGTCATCTGAATTGGCTCAACATAGATAGCATCTCTGGTGACAATTGCAATATTCGGTTTGAATCGTCTGTCATCTATGACGAAGAACGGAACAAATATAGACGCAAGAGGCTAGAATTAGTCTGCACATTGGCGAATAATGGGTACAATAACAAACAGACAATATGCACTCAATGATCGCCCACAATTAAATCATGGATTAAGAAAAATTCGGGAACAGGTTTTCTCAGACCAGAGCCACTGATGTCCGATGGAGCTATAGCTCGTAATCTTAGACCTAGGAAAGGTGGAAAAGTAATCAAAAATTGATGGCGTCTATCGGGAGTTCTAGCCAGTTTTACGTATTACTAGCATTATAGTTATGTTCTACTTTCTAGATAGGATTCCTTTTCGTGTTTGATATTTTAAAAAGTTTTTATTCTCTATTTAATTTATCATATCTACTGATGAAGATGCAAATCATCGAAACGTTTAGACGAACATAATTTGTGGTAATAAAATTAAAATTATCAAAGGTCACAACATGCAAGAGAATCATACAAATCGCTTATATCAAATAGAGAAACAGTAACTAAAAGTACACATACTTCCGTTTGAGATTAGAATATCGGAGTCATTCTAGAAGTCGAAGGCACTCACTGTAATTGTCGAATGATTTCGACATGGATTTAAATTTCAACACAAAATTGTGAAGAATTTAGGAAGATAGTAATGATAGCAACAGACAATAAATATGAAGGTGGCACAAAGTGGAGAAACAGATTTGGCTTCAGTCGATTATCTCTCCAATATCTGTTTTTTATTAAGAACATTACTCTCTGTTCGTTATCAGATTCTTATGTTTAGCGGATGATGGCGTAGACAAAATGTTCAGATCCTAGACCTTCAGTCAAAGGAATATCTGCTAGGTGTACGGGAAACATAATGAAGAATGTGTACGATAACCTCTACTTTTTTGGTTGACAAAAGAGCAGAAAATTCATTTGTGCATCAAGAATAAACGAGAAGAACATCTAAAACATGACAATGCTATGACCTGCCATCCCCGGCTCAGAAGATTATGCTCTTGTATTATCCTTGCGCAATTAGACTCTTGCTCAACTCTTGCTTCATCTTTCCGGTTTCCCAACTCTTTCTGTTCTTGCGCAACTCTTGCTCAATTAGTGTACTATATAAGATCATTCACTTTCTGCAAATAAAACAGAGAGTGAGAGTTGAATCTCACAGGGAAAACGGATTTTGGAAAATTCCAACTTCAATTATTTTTATACATATGAAAAGGAGCAATTAAAAAACCACTATGAATCTATACTAGTTACATTTATAACGGACAACAGGCAAAGGGACTCTTAACAAGACAAGGGCTTATTGCTAAATATATTTCTTACAACTAAAAGTTGATATAATATTTTTAGCATGAATAGAAACGTTCAAAATAAAAAGATACCCATTTTACTTTGTATGACTATAAAAATCATCCTGCATTTGTTGAACAATGAACTGCGGTACCCACTGAAAAAAAATTTACGAATTCCTGCGTTGACACGCAGTAATCTGAAAAAATCCTGTGAATGTTGAATATATACTGCAAGTTTTTACATCACGTTACCTCGCCGAAAATTTTCCTGCAAGTTGGTGAGTATAATTGAGTAGGATTTTTTAACACGCTCACTTTTTGAGTTTCTTTTCTGCAGGATCCTCGAGGATTTTTCTCTAGGCACACCATACAGGAACTTTTTCATGCGTTCATGCGATATATCTCGCAGATGCTTCACTTTGCATAGCCTGCGGAATTTTTTATGATGCCATGTCTGTCTTGCGGCATTCTGCAATCTTTTCTCATCAATGTCTGTGCAGGGTGAACCTGTCTGTATTTTTTATTTTTGGCAAGTTAAGTACTTCTGCATATTTTCTTGTAAAGTCATACAAGCTTTTCTCGTGTCAAATAAACTTCCGGAAATGTATACCTTAATATTTTTAACTATTACTTATCCATGTTTTACCGAAGTTTTTAAATTATATACCATTCAACAGAGTATTCAAAGGGATTACTCTCATTTCGTCCCATACTTGTTTCGTTCCGTTTATTTTTCTAGCATTCTAGTCATTTTATAACTATTCATTTTTTTTCCAATCAACTAATCAATATTAATATAATTCATTAAGATAATGTAAGAATTGATAGATGGTTTTATAAGTTACATTTATTATTTTATTTACGAGTTACAATGAAACAGGTAATTTTAAAGTATTAACACATTTGCCACATTTAATTGCAAGTTCAGTTCC